GGAGGTCATGAGAAGGTGGAGGTCATGAGAAGGTGGAGGTCATGAGAAGGTGGAGGTCATGAGAAGGTGGAGGTCATGAGAAGGTGGAGGTCATGAGAAGGTGGAGGTCATGAGAAGGGGAGAGGGAAAGAGGGAGAGAGCACATACAGTGCTTGCAGCGCTAGGTGTGTGGGATGGGAGGGCGTACAGTGCTTGCAGCGAGGGCAGCAGGCCGAGGGTGGAAGGCAGCGGGCCTGAGAGTTGATTGTAGCCCAGCTCGCTGCAGGGAGGGGGGCAGGTGCGCGCACACACACAAATTGGAAGGCACACAGGTGCAGACAGGAAAAGGATTGGGAACGAGGAAGGTTGGGCAAGAGAACGATTGGGCAAGAGGGGGGTTGGGCAGGACATCACATCACAAAGAAGTGCGTCACATCAAACTGCAGTGCACCACGTCACACCACACTGCCTAACGCACACGCGCATAGGGGCCGGGGTGACTCACAGCACCTCCAACCAGGGGGGCTTTCACAATGCCAACGCAAATGCGGGAGGGGGCTTTCAGCAAAGACTCATGAGATCTGCAGCGAGGGTTTAGGGGGTTCACGGTGCTTAAGGACATGTGCAAGGGGGCGTCCAATGAAGACTCACAGTATCTGCAGCGCTCGCAGCGAGCCGATAACAGCAGGGACGGGGCCTGAGAGCTTGTTGTACTGCAACTGGCTGTGAGGGGGCGTGGGGGGCGATGGGGGAAGGGGATGGGTGCACGGGGCAGGAGAAGAGGGCAACGAGCCGATGACAGCAGGGACGGGGCCTGAGAGCTTGTTGTACTGCAACTGGCTGTAAGGGGGCGTGGGGGGTGATGGGGGAAGTGGATGGGTGCACCAGGAGGGTTGGGTGGGGAAAGAGGAAGGGCGGGGAGGCGAGCGCAGCGGGGATGGGAACTGAGAGCTTGTTGTACCTGACCGCAATTGTAGGCCGCAACCTGACTCACAGTGCTTGGAGGGCAGTGAAGGCGGCAACAGCAGGGGTGACAGGAGGGCCGGAGGCCTGGTTGAAGCTGAGGTCGAGCATTGTAAGACGACTCAACACTCACAGGGCTTGCAGGGCAGTAAGGGCTTACAGTGCTTGCAGGGCAGTGAAGGCAGCAACTGGGGGGGTGACAGGAGGGCCAGAGGCCTGGTTGAAGCTGAGGTCGAGCATTGTGAGGCGCGAGAGGGCTGCCATGGAGACCCATGGCACTTGCCCCTGCAGGTTCTGAGGTGCCGCAAGAGTTGACTCACAGGGTTTGCAGGACAGTAAAGGCTTACAGGGCTTGGAGGGCAGTGAAGGCGGCAACAGCAGGGGTGACGGGAGGGCCCGAGGCCTGGTTGAAGCTGAGGTCGAGCGCTGTGAGATGCGCAAGGGCTGTCATGCCCGCCCATGGCACCTGCCCCTGCAGCTGCTTCCCCTGAGGTGACTCCGGTCCCTTGAACGGCAACTCTCTGGTGGTGGTGGGAGGTGAAAAGCCGGCATGAGGACAGGAAACGATGAATGAGAAGCATGCCCCCTCCTCAAGGCACCTGCCCCTGCAGCTGCTTCCGCTGGGGGGACTCCGGCCCCTTGAACGGCAGCTCGGTGGTGGTGGGAAGAGAAGGGCGTGGGGGTGATGGTGGTGGGAAGGGAAGAGGCAGCACGAGAGCAGGAAAAGATGAATGAGAAGCATGTTCGGCACCTGCCCCTGCAGCTGTTGCCCCTGGGGGGACTCCGGTCCCTTAAATGGCAACTCTCTGGTGGTGGGAATACATGGGTTGGAATGTGGAGAGAAAAAGACAAATGAGAAGCATGCCCACTCATGGCACCTGCCCCTGCAGCTGCTTCCCCTGCGGGGACTCCGGTCCCTTGTATGGCAGCTCACTGGTGGTGGGAGGAAAAGAGTGAGGAGAGGAGGGGAACAATGAGAAGCATGCGCACCCAACTTCTGCCCCCGCTCACAGCACCTCCCCCCCAGCAACTTCTGCTGCTGCTGCGCCCCCTGGGGGAGTCCGCTCCCTGGTATGGGAGCTCGCTGGCACGGAACAGGATGTAGGGGGCATGGGAATGCATGTATGACATGTGGTGGCATGAGGTGGCGTGTGATGGCATGTGATGGTATGTGATGGTATGTGATGGCATGTGATGGTATGTGGTGGCATGTGGTGGCATGTGGTGGCATGGCATGTGGTGGCACGGGGTGGCATGGGGTGGAATGGGGGGCATAGGGAGGAATGGGGTGGCATAGGGAGGAATGGGGTGGCATAGAGTGGAATGGGGTGGCATAGGGTGGATTGGGATGGCATGGGGTGGAATGGGGTGGCATGGGGTGGCGTGGGGTGGCATGTCAACGCCACTCACATGCCGTCCACGTGCCCTGTGGGGCTGCAGTGAACGCCTCCCCACGGTGGTTTCTGCGGGTCACACGGCAGAGACGCGTTGCCCCACCCGCTCGCCCGCAGCCCCTCGCTGCTCCCCATCGCCTCCCAGAACGCCAGCAGCGCTGCGCCTGTGCGCGTGCATGTAAAGGGCGAAGGAAGTGGGGGATACATATAGGGGAAGGCAGTGGGACGAGGCCCCCCCCCTCCCACCCGCTCGCCCGCAGCCCCTCGCTTCGCCCCATTGGGTGCGCCTGTGAGGAGGGGCGGGGAGAAGGAAGAGGCAACATCATCCCCCGCTCGCCCGCATCCTCATCGTCCCCCAGAACGCCAGTGGCGCTACGCCTGTGCGCGGAAACGGGAAAGGTGGAAGGCGGAGGGGGAAGGGGGAAGGAAGGGGGGCGGGGACGCGGGCAGTATTTCGGAAGGCAGTGGGGAGATGAGAGGAGGATTGGACGAGAGCAGGGAGGAGAAGAGAAGGAGATGAGGAGAGTAAAGAGCAGAGAGCAGAGAGCAGAGAGAGGAGAGCGTGGACAGAGGAGAGGGTCGGGAGAGCACGGGGAGCGCGGAGAGCGGGGAGGGCGTGGTGAGAGCGGCGCGGAGGCTGGGTAAGCGCAAGTGAAAAGCCGCTCACGCTCTGCTTGCTGCTCCAAGGGGCTGGCCGCGCCAGGTGGCAAGCTGGCCGCGATAGACGCCGCATTTTGCGAAAAGGCAGAAACGAGCGCCAGAAGCAGCAACACGCAAGAGGTTTTCGCGGCGCGCTGTGGCTGGCGCCCCCGACGACACCGTGCGACGTGTGGGCGACACATGCGAGCGGTACGAATAATACGTGCGCTAAATGAGGGCTGCGCGAAGTTTACGGGCGGAGGATGCTGCTCGGAAATCGAAGACAATGCGTTTGAATATTACGAAACCCTATTAATGGCACGGCTCGAGCGTAGCTACTAGCTGAATCTACACTTCTATACCTAATTTCGACGGTACGGAACGGAACGGAACTATGAAACATAAGAGCGTGGAACATCCTTACGTACAAGTGTCACGTCAGCACTCTGGTCGAACAATTGTCAGTGATTTTCGTCATGTAACACGCAAAACCCCGTATCCCAAGTTGGAAACACTTGGTAGCCCAGAAATACGGAGTCGCGATGATACACGAAACCGCCTGCTTCGCAGCACGTCAATCACGACAACACCTGGTTTCATTTCGCATGTTCCTCGTGACGTCGCCACTACTTGTCTTATCAGCGAGGTTCAACGAGTGGGGCGAGCAACGAGTATAAGCCGTAGAACGTGCGTGCTTCGGGCAGTCTTCGTCAGTCTGCTTCGTAGGTCAATGGCGATGGTCGCAACAGTGGTTACTGTCGCTGTTGGGCGCCATCGCCATGTTCAAAAGGATGTTCCACGCTCTAATTTCCTCGCGGCTGGCTGTCGGCACATCAACCCTGCGCGGTTGTTGCGGGCCTGAGGCAACCGCAGAAACTGTCTTGACTCGCGAAAGCGACAGAAATGCCATCGCATCTTTGCCGTTGGCTCAACCTGTGCCTCCTTATGAATTGGTGCGATCTTGAAACGAGAGAAGGCCAATCTCGCTTGAGAAGAACAGATTTGTCTGGAATATAATAAGAAACGGTGGGTCCATTGTGGAAAATATATATTGTTTCAGTCCTACAAAGTTTGTTTTTCAGGGTGACAAGAAGTTGTTAAAATCCCAAGTGGGAATTAGCGAAGGATAGCTCAGGGTTGATCGCAGGTAGTGTTGCAGCGGAAGTGTGGAACTCATATCAGAGTGAATGTAAAATGACTGAGATGATAATAACATGCATACATTCAGTTTATATAGGAAATACAAGCCATGTTATAATGAATGTGAATTCATTACTGTAGAGGCTGCTCCTAGCGAGGACAGCCCGAACTGTTCGCGTCAGTTTGGGCTCGGCCTACACTTTACAATACACGGAGTTGCGTCGAGCTCGGGTTGAGCGAGAGAAACGGGCTTCGAGCTTCAGGAGGTGAGAATTACGTGTTAGAAACTAGTGACAGGAATGGATGAATTAGCAGCATGCAGGAGTACAAGTAGTAAACCCTAATAAGGTTGTACCTCATATGGGCTACCCCACTACAGCCTAGACAATATGCAGCATATATAGTTTGATACACCCCCATAGGCAAAGTGGGGGAGAACAAGGGGTCACACGACCAGTCATGAGAAGCAGAGCAAGCTCAGGGTGGATCACAACATCACCACACACTCTGAGCACAAGCAAAGGGCCACAAGGCCAGTTCACATGCAGAGATATATATGCAGCAATAACAGTATAGTGATGACTACCTAGCAAAAGCCAGCATGCAGGTATATAAATAGACCACAGTACAAGCAAAGTCTACAGCAAGTGTGGAAACGTAGGCACAAGGCCTAACAGGGTACAAAAGCGCTGATGATCACCAGACGGAAGTGCCTTGGTGAATATATCAGCAATGTTGGCCCGAGTGGCCACGTGGCGAAGACGAAGCTGGCCTCGCTACTGCAACTCTCGAGCCAGGAAGTAACGCAGAGCGATGTGCTTCGTTCTGTGCTCCAATCTGTGCTCCTGACACAAGGCAATGGCCGCCTTGTTGTCAACGTACAGAACTGGAGGAGAACGAGGCCGCTCACCCAAGTCAGTCAGCAGGTAGGTGAGCCAGCGTAGCTCCTGTGCAGCCATGGCGGTGGCGTAGATCTCAGCCTCACAACTGGAGCTGAGAACAGAAGACGAGCGTGTAGACCACCAAGAAACAGAGCCAGAGCCAAGGCTGAAGGTGTAACCCTGTGACGACCGCTGTGTAGTCTGGTCGTCAACCCAAGACGCGTCTGAGTGCCCAGTGAGGACCACCTCACTCCGTCCTCCAAGCACGAGCCCCATGCCTGATGTACTGCACAGGTAGCGCAACACCCTCTTGGCAGCATCCATGTGCACCTTTCGGTGCCTGCCAGGGGCCACGTAACAAGCCAAAAGACCAAGGGGGTATGCGAGGTCAGGTCAAGTGCTGGTCATCAGGTACATGAGGCAGCCAACTAGCTATAGGTAAGGACCACTCGGCTCTATGGACTCGTCCGAAGGTGGAGCTGAGAGCGAGTGACCTGTAGCCAGAGGAGTGTGCTGTGGGGAGGACCAGGAGAAGCCGAAGCGCTGAAGGACCTGCTGCACCATGTGTGACTGAGTCAAGGTGATGGTGCGGCGTGCTCTATCCCGGGTGATCTGCAAGCCAAGGTAGCTGCGCAGCTCACCCAGGTCTGTGCACGTGTGTCTCTTCTGCAGCTCCGACTTCACCTGAGCGAGAGCCTCAGTGTCACAAGTAGCAAAGACCAAGTCGACGACGTACACGAGGATGTAGAACGGCGGCAGCGAAGTGTCGGTGCGCAGAAACAGCGACGGGTCAGCAGTCGAAGGAGCGAACCCAAGAGCCGCAAGTGTAGTCCTCAGTGTGTCGTGCCACTCACGAGGCGCCTGGCGGAGACCGTAGACTGGCCGCCAGAGGCTCCACTGGGTACCAGGAGGGAACGACCCAGTGAAGCCAGGTGGGCGGCGCAGCCAGATCTCCTCGTGCAGGCTGCCTTGTAAGAAGGCTGTGCTGAAGTCAAGAGAGTGAAGCTCGTAGTCACGCTGAGCGGCAACGTGCAGCAGCACCCGAAGAGTGGTCATCTTCGGGGTGGGGGAGAAGGTCTGAAAGAAGTCAACTCCCTCTCGCTGACTGAAGCCTCTAGCAACGTAACGAGCTTTGAAGACAGGCGGAGAACCCGGCGGCCGCTTCACCCTGAAAATCCACATGCCATCGACGATGTTCGCCCCAGGAGGGGGAACCTCATCGACGTAAGTGCCTGTGGACTTCTAGGATGCCATCTCTGCGTCCATGGCTGTCTGCCACTGAGAGGAGTACTCACCTGCGATCGCCTCAGCGTAAGAGCGCGGAGTCGGGATGTCTAGTGCATCCGGGTCTCCCTCAAGGGCAAGCAGCATGGCCACGAGATGAGGCGCAGCAGCCGCAAGACACTCAAGGTCCTCGTGCCTGTCCTCAAGGACGTCCGTGCTAAGAGCACACTCACCCCCGACGGACGGAGGACAGACAGACTCGGACTCAGCAACAAGACTGGCAGTGAAGTCTAGACGACAGGCAGCAGCAAAGTCAACAAGCTCAGCGACTAGGGCAGACGCAGCAGCAGACTCAAACGACGGGTCAGTGACAACAGTGGCTAGCAGACGCGTGACAGTAGGGTGCTCAACACGAAACCGGTCAGACTCAGGATCCGCGACGTCAGGCAAAGAGGACGCAGGGGGAGACGGAAGAGGAGTACGCTCCGGAGGAGAGGACCGACGCAGGGCTACAAGGCGTGTGCCGGGGACAGCCGGCTGACGCTGACGAGGAACACGACGAACGGTACGACAAGGACGAACAGGCGAGACAGGACGCGACGCAGGCTCACGACGCTCAGCAAGACTACCTGTCTGCCCAGTGTAAGGAGAAGGAGCAGGCAGCGGAGAGCCAGGCAGTAACTGTAGACCAGTAGAAGACGGGAGGTCAAGAACCTGGCGAAGGGCAGAGCCAGACGGTGGCTGAGACGACGGAGACGGCGGAGCGAAGAAAAGTCGAGTCGGTGCAGTGCTACCAGCAGCTCCAGCAGCTCCAGCACCTCCAGTAGCTCCAGCACCTCCAGCAGCACCAGAACCCTCAGCGCCAGCTCCTCCAGGGCCAGCTCCACCAGCAGCAGCACCCGCAGGCTCAGCACCTCCAGCCCCAGTAGCTCCAGTACCCCCAGTACGAGCACCTCCGAGACCAGCACCACTCCCAGCTCCAGTGACGTCAGCAGAAGTACCTCCAGTAGCAGAGCCCCTAGCTCCAGAAGCACGACCCTGACGGCAACCGTACCAGTCGTGCAGCTGCTGTGAGGTGACAGGCACACGTGGACGAAGGCGGCCACTCCAAGGAGACCGCGCAACAGCAGACTCAGAACCCTCAGCGTCAGCACCTCTAACAGCTCCAGAACCTCCAGCGCCAGCACCCTCAGCAGCTCCAGAACCCCCAGCGTCAGTACCCTCAGCAGCTCCAAAACCTCCAGCTCCAGCGCCACCAGCACCAGGCCCTCCAGCAGCTC